GGCGCGCAGCCGGCCTGCGGAACGCTGGGGACCCGGCGCGGAGAGAGAAACCCGAGAGTCCTGCGGCCCCGCCGCTGAGAGTTGAGCTTTTGATGTTCTGGAGCCTTGCCGCTTCTCAGGGCTTTCTGGGTTTTGTTTTGTTTTGTTTTGTTTCCCTCCTCTCTGATCGGCTCTCTGGTGTATAAACTGCTCTGAAAATGGGGCAGGAGGGAGAATTTCACAAGAGCAGCGGCTGAGGTGTCATCCAGGCGCCTGTAGGTGGTGAGGACCTTCCGTGGAAACGGCCTCAGCCCAGGGGTTTGGAGACAACCCTTGGGACTGACTTCCTTCCTGGCCAGCTCGTCACGCACCTGGCTAGGGCCTGCTAGGGGTTAAGTCCACTCAAAATCCTCTTTGGAACAAGGCCAGCTCTGTTTAATTAAATAAATACACACCCACCGTGTGCGGGACCTGTGCCAAGTGCCAGCCAGAGAACAAAACAAAACAACCAAAAAAAAAAAAAAAAAAGAGGGTGTAAGATCCAGTCGCTGCTTTCAAGGAGCCCTAAATGAAAGTGGAGCCAGGCCCTCAGATAAATGCCTGTTGAGTAGCGTCTGTTCAAAAGTCATGGTTTTGCAGAATGTGCAGTATCCCCTCACTACTTAAAATATGGCTGTGGCAGCCTGAGCATTGCCTGGGAGCTTGCAAGATATTCAGGCTCTAAGGTTCCAGCCAACTGCAGTCAGAATGTGCATTTTTAACAAGCCCCCCGGAGATCTGTGTGCACATTCAAGTGCGAGAAGCATGGCCCTTTCCAGTCTGTCCCAGTGCCTCTAGCGAGTCACCATCTGCGTGGTTCCTCTTGGACTGAGGAAGCAGGGATAATTTTGCTTGTGTTAGCCTGGCATAGCGGCATGGGTAAGAGGTACCTGAAGGGCCAGGGGAGGGAGAAGGTTCACTAATGATTTATTTTTAGCAGCCCTGTTTCCGTGCCCACAAAGATACTGAAGGCATGAACACAAGACTAATTGCAGCGGGAACCCCTAGAGAAAATGAAATGGAAAAGGCTGGTAGGCCTCGTATAGAACAGGCCAGGGCTCCGTTTTGTCTGTAGAGCCGCCTTACCACTGAGCCTCACCCTCCACATTGGTGACCTGTTCATAGCATGCCTGCCAGTGACAGAAAAGACACTTTTCATACTTTTGCAGAATTTTCTTCTCATTGACGAGGCTGTACAAGGATGCATTTATCAGTAGCAAATAGAAGGCCATAGAACAGTGTTAAATATGTCACTTGGAAAGCTAGCCAAGGGCTCCTGGCATCAAATTTAAGGCAGAGGAAAAAGTTAAAGTGATAATATGCTGTTAGCCTGCCCGTAAGATAGCATTAGGGTCACACTGGTTAAAGCAACTCTAATAAACGGAATGGCACCTGGTTACTAGGATTTAAAATTTTCTTAAAACTTTGTCCATGGAATTCACCTAGGGCTGGTGAAGATGGACATTTTTGAATTCAAAACAGGTCAAAGGAGTCATCGGGTGTCTGTCTTTTAAACATTAGCTAGCTCTTTCATAGAACATTTCTTTTCATTGACATCTTTCACCTGCTTTCAGCTAATAATTAGAACTCTTGGAATAATTTTACATGCACAAATGGATTCCTTTTATTTGACAGTTTAAGAAGCAATCCGTTTGAAATTGTACTTTTTGCTTCATTTAAACAGTGCCCATTACCAAATAGCCTCTGCTGAAGCTCTAATGACTCACCCTGCAGAGGGAAGAATTGGATTGTATGTACTTTTCAGATTCAAAGCATCCAGCAGTATTTTCTAAGTCAGCAAGGCCATCGGGACAAATGGAAAACACAGCTCTGGGTTTTCTCTGAGGTCCTAGGTCTGGCTTCAGTGACATGGATTTATAGTATCCCTTCTGCAATGGCATTTTCTTTTGATGTAACAGAGGAGGAGACTTACACGGCCAGTTTTCACCATTTCGGGGATGGGTACAATAATTTTTTCTTAAAAAAATATTTTCTATGACATGACGATCCTCACCATTTAATTAGTCTCCTCACACAGTGTTTTCAAGTTTACTAGAATGGCCTTCTCTATGAATTCTAATTTCTCCAGCTCTGCCTTCCAGACGACTAGACCAGTCAGCATCGCCAGGGCAGCGGTTCTCACACTTGAGTGTACATCAGAATCCCCTGCGGGGGTATGTATGTGTGTGTCTGTGTGTGGCCTTCTTTAAACTCAGGAGTCTGAGCTTCAGCTTCAGTGAGGCTGGGGAGGGGCCTGAGAATCTGTGTTTCTAACAAGTTCCCAGGTGAACCTGATGCTAGTGCTCCAGGGACCATAGTGGGCTAGGTTATGCTATGGTGACAGTAAAGCAACAAAAGTTTGCTCCAGGGTAGCTGAATATGCCACCTCAAAATGTGCTGCTTTGATATAAGGATTAGTTTGAGCTGAAGGCAAATGGGAAGAAACAGGTTAAGAAAATCCCTCTGCTCTTCCACATTAGCTTAAAAGCAGGACATGAATTTGTAGGGATGTCCCCCCTTCTCTCTCTGCCAGGAAGGACAGACGCCAATCACTGGTGACAACTCTAGATCCTTATCAGTCCAGAGACAGCACCAGAGGAATCCATCTAACAAACCTTGCTAAAACTAGCCATTGTCTACCAATACATTCCCCATATATTTGCCTTCCCCCAACTTGCCTCCCCTAGAAGTTCAAAGTCTTTTCCCTGTGTTGTCAGTTCTCCAGAAGTGTGTTGTTCTGTTCTTAAGATGCTCTGTCAGCCCAAGTTCTAACCATCCCTTAGAGTTACTCATCACTGGGTGCTCCTATGTGTATGCGCAATGCATGTGTTGATCAACTGCTGTTTTGCTCTTGTCAGTTGGTCTAATCTGCAGGGCCCTAGACAATGAACCTAAGACGGGTGGAGGGAAAACAGTGTTTCCTCCCTCACACTTGTCTATCAAAAGAGGTTTGTCTTGAGGGCAGTTACTCAGGCACCTGGGAGCAGCCACAGCCTCAAACATTGGTGCTCACCCTGCCAGAGGGAAGACAGATTCTGGAGGATCTTGCACTGGCGATTGAGTGCTCTGGCCTGGAAGTGATGTGCTCACCACTCCTCACCACTCCTGGGCCAAACTCAGTCACGTGGTCCCATCAAACCACAAGGAGGTCGGGAAATGTTCCTCCCCTGCTGGCTGAAACTGAAACTCTGCAGTGGACACCCAGTGACAACCGTATCAGTGCAAACTTT